TTATCTACGACTTCAAAGTTATGACTGTCAACAGTGACGTGAGTGCCAAGTCGCGAGTGCGACGACTGTTTGTTTGATGACAGGAGATATTTTTTTACTTATTTAAATTTATTTTAATACTTCTGGGCTTACTTTTTAATATACATATATATTGCCAACTATTGGGCAGACAAAAAGTGCGTGCTTTTCATGACCAATATGGCTTCCGCATGTAACAAATTGCATGAAGTCTGGTAATTGGAGAAAATTAAAACCAAATTATGAATTTAACTTTTATAACAAAAAACAGTGCTTAAAACGCAAAATTTTTAAAATTTATTTCTAAACGGCACTTTTCTTGGAAATAAAGAAACAGCTGACAAACTGCCAACGTGCATAATGTTGCCTTTGATAGAATTATCTATAATGCCTTCGGAAGACAATAAGTAAATGTGTGTGAAAGAAACAAACGTAATTTTAACAGCAAATAATAAATAATTTCTTAAACAAGGTTATCGCCCGGAAGTTTGATCTCATCAACTTAGTTTAATTTTCAAGTCTGAATCAACCAGATTAAACGTAAATTAAAAGTAAAATACTTAGCTTCCAAACCAAAATATTTATAGTCAAGTTAATTCAACTTCTGTAACTTGCAACATGCCAAAGTAAATTGAAGTTGATGCCAAGCTGTCATCAGTAAAGCAAATGAAACATAGCACATATTGGGAAACGAGAATTATAACTGTACATTGCTGTTATTTGCTGTTCTTTGCCATTCCCTACACGCCCAGCTTATTTACAGTTATTGCTCTTAAATACTTGCTGCATTGCAATACATTTTCATTATTTTAGTTTTACAACAACAACTATAGCTAGTATAATAAAAATGTATGCTGTATATTTGTATCTTAACTGGTGTTAGGGAAGAAGCTTCCGTTCTTTCGCCGTCAGCTGCAGCGGCTGGCGCTGATTACTGTCAATATTTGTTTCAGGTGGCGCCGTTGCCACGCTGGACGCGGTCACTCGCGGTTAACAGTCAAGAGATATGCCAAAGCTTCCGCATCACTGCAAGCAACAGCGAGAGCACCACAACAAATGAATGTTTCAGTCAACGAAACGGAAATATCGAGCGATTGGGGAGGTTAGATGGTGGTTGAAAATTCTAGTACAGCAACAAAATCAAAAGTTATAAAAAATAAGCAATAACTAAGTTTTGTTTGCGCTAAGCCAAACCAGCAGCAGCGGCAAACCGCTAACACACTAGTCAGTTGATGTTGCAGCCCATGGCTTGATATTCAATGCACCATCCACATTCGCGTATGCCGACATTAGCAATTAGGAAATATTTCAGATTTTTATTATGCAGCTGACATACCACAACCGTGGAGTCAATAATCTGCCGCCTGCCACCGCTCCGCATGCTCTCGTGCCGGCTCTCCTTCAGCTTTTTTAACCAACTCGGCAACGAACACGTTCTCTTCTCTACCCGTATACTATATATCCAGGGTTGGTCAACAACGCTGCACTTATATCGAAATTCTTTGTATTTGCACCGCAGCGGAAACGGAAATTGGATTTGTTTGCTTACAACACCAACTGCACACCCAACACTCACTGTCAGTTCCGCAGCGCTTCTTCCATTCGGATTTGAGCTTTGTTTAACATTTCCTTTACGGCGAATCAATTTCTTAACAGCGCATTTTTAAGCCGATTAAATTGCGATATTTTAACCAGATTTGGACTCAACTCTAACCCATTCGGGTGTGACGACTTAGCGCAGAGAAAATGTGGCGAAGAGTATCTGCAGTGTGCTCTGCAAAAACAATGGTGGTTGTGGCGGCGACAGATGGTGAAAAAAAAGTCGAAATTTTAATTTTTATTGGTTTTAGTTAGTGGCATCGAGGGCGCAGCCTTTCAACAGCTGCGCTGGCACTTTAAGCGGATTAAGAAAAAAGTTCAAAAGTTTTCTTATTTTTATTATAATTGGCATTTGGATTTTTATTCATACTCTTATTTGACTTAGTTTCCTCTCTTTCATTAAGCTTTTTATTAAACGATATTTTGTGATTTTTATGATTTCTTTTCTTTAAACAGCGGGTTCACCACTTTATGTCTGGTGGCGAGGTAATGATAATTTTGATTAAAAATACTTCTTTGGTGTTAGTTGTTGGTTCCTTTCTCCTTGCCAGCTTCGTTTTTTTTTTGTTTTTGGCGTTAATTGAATTTTTCCCGCCCCGCACATGTGAGATTTTGACACAAGCTGGACTTATGGATTACTTAGGATAATTCAAAATGTATGAACAATTTCGACTGTAATCTCAGAACCGTTGAAGATTTAGAAATCTGCACACGTTTCATACTTCATATTTTGTGATCAAACATACGCAATTATTGAACAAAAGGCAAAACATGTGTGGTCAATATTAAATTCGTCTTCAACATAATTGATTAACATACACTAAATATTTTTTTTTTTTCTTTTTTTTTTTTTATATTACCAGGTTGTTCAAAAAGTGTGGTAGTACTATTTTGTGATTTAAAATAATGTGAGAATCCGGAAGGTCTGCAAAATACGCTTCAACAGCCGTTACGACCTCTTCATTTGAATACGATGCATGCTTCCAATAATGCGAACTTTCATTCATGGATTTTAACCATTGTCAAAATGTCTTGTGACACGGTGCATTGTCCTAATAGAAAAGAGTTTCTCTTCTGCAAACCGGGTCTTTTTTCACGAATTTTTTCCTTCAACTGGTCCAAACGGTTGTACTAATATTCAAAATTAATTGTTTCACAAGTTTGCAAGTAATTCACAGACAAAATTATTCTCGCATCCCCAAAAACCAGGCTTACACCATTCTTTAGCCTCCTATTTTGATTCAGGATCATGGTGATAGACGCAAGCCCCATCCATGGTGATGAATCGACGCACAAAATCCACTTTATCATATTTAAATGCTCCATATGTTGTTTATAAAGCTGCATTCGAATGTGTTTCTGTTCCATTGTTAGCGAATACGGCACTCATTGTGCCCACGTCTTTCTAAAATCCAAAATTTCACTTAAAATATGGCTCACACTACCTAATGGGATGTGTAGAGCCGCTGCTAAATCTCTCTCAGTCAATTGACGATCATCCAAAAAAACTCCTTTATTTTGACTATGATTTCTGGTGTTGATCCGCTTTTTGGACGTTCTTCACGTGGATCGTCTTCAAAGCTGTAAAGACGTTTTGAATTCAGCAACCCATCTTTCTACTGTTCTAATTGTAACTGAGAAATCCTTATACACTTTTAAGATTTGTTCGTGAATTTCTTTTGGTGCTACATCTTCCAAAAATACGAATTTTTTCACTGCACGATATTCCATTTTCAATTGTAAAAAAATACTGTGACACGGTGACTCTAAATGCCTTGTAAACAAAGAATGAATCGACAGATTGAAATAAAACGTATGTGCACGTTCGTATGAAGAGTATACTAAAAAAACAGAAAAATTGTTGGCCTGTAGCAACGCCCTCTCTTATCGAAGGACTAAACTTATTGAACAACCTGGTATAGTTCATTAGTAGTAAATGAAGTAAGGACGTTGTGGATTTCAAAGATTAGTTTATCGTATCAACTGTCACAATTACGTGCCTTAAAATTAAATTACTCCTCGTGATTTCACACTAAAATATTAATCTAATACGAAAAGCTGATTTCATTGGTGACTAAATTCTAAAAATGGCATAATTCGAGGTTTATTTTAGATATAAACTAATAAAAGAAAGCCAATATACATATAACTTTTTTGTGAGCTTGTACTGTAATTAGTTTTGTACACAACATATCACATATTTTTGTATACATCTAATATTCTCCAAAAATAAAAACCATATTTAATTAAATTATCCACTTTACATCTTTTTGCTTCTCTTGTCTATTCTTCATCACTCATAAAAAATTTGTAAATATTTCCACAATAATGCTTCATTAAATCAAAAATATAAAATACAACATATTACCGCTAACTACAACCGCTGACTAACAAACAGTGCGACCGAAAAGTAAGTAGACGCAAATTTGCTATAATCCGCTATAATTACTTGCAAGCATTCACTATTATTTAAATATAGTAATGTAAATGCTATCAAATTTATAAATTTTTATTATTATTTTTCCCCCTTAAATTTTGTCATTTATGTCCTAATGGAGGTAAAAGTTGTAAAGCATACACTGATTCACTTTTGTTTGCCAGGGACATTTGCTTTGTAATTTTCAGGTTTATATATGTTTATTTTGTTTTTGTAATGGTTGCATTGCAAGTGCAGAATTTTCTGAAAATAAGAATAGTAGATAATTATTTGCGGCTTATATGCTTTTGTCTGCCAGAAAGGAGTAAATATAAAATGGTAACAACGGATTATATAATAAATAGAGCGCTCTTAACCACTAATGTATGTATGTCTGATAATAGTGGTTCACTATATTAAAATCCTTCGTATGTGCCTGTGAGTGCATATAAATTCTAAGCAGCTAGGATTTGCTTTGGTCAATAGTTTATGATACATCTGAATCACTTGTCGACACCAACATATTGTTTAGATAACCTAAAAATATAACATTTTATGCTTAAGCGACAATAGTTTTGATATTACCGATATGTTGCATTGAACTCGGATTATTAATTTATTGTAATTCAACAGAAATTGTGAACTAAAAGGGGGATCCAATAAAAAAAAATTTCTAGACATAGTAAGAATATATGGTTTGTGAAAATACTATACAAAATGAGAGTCATAAATGTAATAATTCAGCAAATATTTTAGGGACTCCAGCCTCGTTTAACTACATTAGTGAACCGCTAGGAACCTCAAATAGCTTTTACATGCCCCGAAACATACGTTATTCTTCGTGAAAAGCTAATAGTAAAAAACTATTGAAGCCGTGGACCGCCTGGTTAATAATCTATTAATACCTTAACTTAACTTTAGATTTATTTCATCAAGAGAAAATTTAAGTAATCAAATCGAAATTATTAACATCTTCTATATCGAGCACAACGGAATGTATATTCACCCATTCACTGACACATTTGTCCGCTCTACAATGTATCTATAGGTAATCCCAGGTGCAGACCACATATGCGCCGTAAAGTATGCAATGAATATTTATTAGCTTGTCACACACACATTTATCCAGCTAGAAACCAAGTGTGTTTCTATATACATATGTACACGCATTTCCCACACAATTACTTTGGAAAGCTCACTGACAGAAATGGATTACGGATTACTCTGCATAACGGTGTGTAGGGGCATACAATTCATTTGTTTAATAAACACATATTTCAGCTGACAAGTAAATATTCAGAGAATTTCACTTTATGCTGTTTACTAATGTTTTCAAGAAAATAACTAAAAAATAATAATTCAGAAAATATTTGAAGTGAGTTTCTATGAGCTACCATGTGGTGCTCACTGTCATGAATTTTATAAATATGTATGTGTGTATGGCGTATGCACATTCCATACAAAATGTTAGGCCAAAATATTATATTCCTTTCATATTCTCCTATAGATATAACTGCTTAAAAAATCTTAGTCTTTTGTTTAAATTCTCCACAAAAGTTTCAAGAATGAATATTTGTTCACTTTCAGTTACAGAAAAAAAAAAGAAATGTAAATCACGAATTTTTTCAAATCGATACAAAGCACTTTTTGCTTTATTTTTAACACGAAAAGACAATTCATGAAAAGAACACTGGCAATAATAAATCAATTACACGTAAAGATATTCTGGGTTTAAAAATAATCTTAAATCTGCAACTTATATTCTTCGTCATTAACTAACAACCGATTTTTTAAATATTTTAGTACTTTTTAAATGTTTTATATTTTTCCAATGTTCATTAATAATATTATCTATTTTTAAATTACTTGAGTTAAAAAACTAAGAAAAATTATTTATTTTATATAATGGATGATGAAAATTTGTCTGAGTGTTCTTCTGTAACCTTTATGTTCGAAAATAGAATTTTCCTTATAATGAAGTTTATCCATGTTTTCTCCCAGCACATTACCACCACCAAGTGTTTATTCGTTTGTCTTTATTTTCAATTGAATGCTGCTAAGTAGGGGAAATATCGCTAAATAGCTTTTTGTATTTTCTCATCCAAACACGCAGAACAACTAGCATGGTGGCAACGCTGGGATAAAACCACACTCATCATATTGGTGGCCTCGATATTGGCGCTACTTTTGGCCGTGATTATAATCTGTTGTATCATCATTTGCATATGCCGCCGACGCAGACGTCAAGATAAATGTAAGTACAAGCTAGATTTTTCTTTTGAAAGTATTATGAAGGAGTCTAAACTTTATGTGCAGAAAATATATTTTTATTTCTAGTATTTTAAAGTATAAGCGAAACAAACTACAACAATTTTGCGGTAGTATTCAAATCTTGAACTTTCAATATTTTGAAGTAGTATTCGAGTTTGAAA